GGATTGAACCCCAGGGAACTCAACCATTGAGCCACATGCCCAGCCCCCTCCCCCTCTTTTTCTGAGACATTTTTGCTAACTTGCTTAGGCTGGCTTTTAACTTTCGATCCTCCTGCCTCAGCCTCCCAAGCTGCGGGAGATTACAGGCATGTGCCAACGTACCCAGCAATTTACTGCTTCTTTGTGTGTGAGCCATGTCCCCAGCCCTCTTTTTATATTTTATTTAGAGACAGGGTTTCACTGAATTGCTTAGGGCTTTGCTAAAATTGCTGAGGCTAACTTTGAACTCATGATCCTCCTGCCTCTGCCTCTGGAGCTGCTGGGATTACAGGCGGGTGCCACTGTGCCTGGCTGTTTCCGTTATACTTTAAATTACTTATTTTTATCTAATACAATGTAAAAGTGGTATAAATAGTTCATACTGATTGTTTTAGGATTACTGTCTAGAAAAAAAGTCTATGTTTAGTACTGTGGCAACCACCAATGTACTCTCTCAATTTGACTACTCAAGATTACGTGTAATTATCTTTAAGAAGAGAGTGAGTGATGCACTAGAATCAAAGATACAAAGCCCATTTTTATTTTCAAGGAATATCTTTCCTCTTTAGGATGATAAAATATTTATATTTAACAATATTTTACATTTTCACAGATCATTAGAAAGTCTGAAAAATAATCCTATAACCTGAGAAGTTAAGGACCAATCCTGTTATACAGTGATACCATTCTGTAGTAGTTATAATCCTTTGCTATATTTAAGAAAAAGGCTCTTTTGTATATTCTACTCTATTTAAAAACATAGAGTTGTAGGGCATGGTAGTGCATGCCTGTAATCCCAGTGACTGGAGAGGCAGAGGCAGGCGGATTGCAAGTTCCAGACCAGCCTCAGCAACTTAGAAAGGTCCTAAGCAATGTAGCAAAAATCTGTCCCAAAACAAACAAAAAAAACAAGGCTGGGGGATGTAGTTCACTAGTAAAGTGCCTCCAGGTTAAATCCCTAGTACTGGTAGGGATTTAAAAAAAGTTATACAAAATAAACTACAATTAGAAATAACTGGTTCACTCTCATCAAACTGAAATGCTATATTCAGTGCAATGGTATGTATAATTGAAATCTGAATAATTTGATTAACTTCTTATAAATTCATTTCTCTTAAATCAACTTCTTACTGCTGAAACTGTAGAATCACTTTATGGAACCTATTAGCTTGACAGAAATGAATTACTCCTACTTTTATTTTTTTGTTTTCATCTCTTAGCTCTAGTTCCATCTTTTGCAATTTGGTTATTTCCCATAATTTTGGCTGATGAATTAAGGCAGTTTGAGACAACTTAAAATTCAGTTATTTTACACCAAACGTGCCCTCCCTCCAGTCAGGGATAGAATCCAGGCAAGTTCTCTATCACTGAACTATACTCCCAATCACATAAGCAATGTTTTTGTTATACAGAAATAAACCAGGGTCTAAATGAAATCCTTATAATGAATTTCATTCTCATTAAGCCCAGAAATATACCTGCCTTCAGTCACTCATGGCACCAAAGCCCAAAACCTCAAGGCACCTGAGGGGCTTACCTACACCTCATTCCTAATGCTTTCTGAGCTACCCTCTTAACTGACTTTGGTAAAGATGGGGGATGAGTGTTAAACTCAAGTATTTCCAGAGTCTCTTCTAGCTTGGGACATTCCATAATCATTTTGCCTAATTAGAGCACTTGGCTGAATTTTGTTAATGTGATTAAATCATAAACCTCATAAACCATCACTAAAGCTTACACATTTATTTTAAAATTATTCAAGTATGTATACTATTGTTAATAGTATAGGTCAAATTTTTACACTGACAAGTTATTTCCAAAGGATTTCAAAAGTTGCAGGCTGAAACTACCAGAGGTAGGGTTCCTTGAGGACAGGGCCCTTAAATGCCATAATAAGTATTTGTAGAGAGCATTCCAGATATTACCCCCCAACCTTGTTGTCATCTCAGTATTTTGTTTAAAAAAAGTTGAGATCTAGCTCTTGTTTCTTGGGCCTTTAAAAAAGAATTTTAATACAAATATCAATTACTATATCTATTACTGCTACCTATTCTGCATATTTTCACTCCAATGCCAATTATTAACTATGTTGTTGAACGGTGGTTTTGCCATCCTAAAATCTCCCACCTCCCTTTCTTTTTTGTGGTACTGGAGATTAAAACCAGGGGCACTGTACCTCTGAGATACATCCCCAGTGCCCCTGCTTTCTTGTTTAATTTTATTCTGAGATGGGGTCTCACTAAGTTGGCCGTAGTCTCACTGGCTTCAAACTTGTCATCCTCCTGTCTCTGCCTCCCAGAGGGCTGGCATTACAGGAATGCKCCACCACCATGCTTGACAGTCTTAACATCGTTTTGTTTCTGAGTTTCAGAATGCTCTTTGAAGACAAAGCTATGGTTGGAATGAAAATAATACAGCCAAGGGTGAAGGTTCAGTTTCATATTTCTGGGACCAYCTCACAAGATTCAGTAAAGTTAGGAGGATTTCCTCACATTTCCCCCTTTAACATCTGTCCACTTAATTTTCAAAGTTAACAAAGCCTTTTGAAGACCCCAGGCTAAAACTGCGCAGCCAGACTTACTTTCACTTAGGTGTTGATATTATGAAATATGCATCAGTAAATAACCATGAGACAGGGAAGCCCGCAAAGAAAACAAGACCCAGGAAGCGATTTCCGGGCTGAGGTGGGAGGGGCGGCCAATTTCCGGTTGGRGGACTGGCGAGGGCTCTTGCGCAAGCGCGGTCCTCACTTTCCTGGCTCTCTGTCTCCACTGCCCCTCCCCCAAGCCGGAGGGGTCTTGAGGTGACAGCGCTTGCAACTGCGAYTCCAGTAGGAAGAGAAGATGGACAAGAGGAAGCTCGGGCGACGGCGATCTTCATCTGGTGAGAAAGGGCTGGAAGAGGGTTGAACATATTGTTCCTACCTAGGAGATGACGGGTGTTGTGTTGCGGCCCCGAGCTTTGAGGTGAGAGGGAGGGCGAGGCGGGGGCGCGCACAATGGAAGGCTCCGGAGTGGCTCCCGCCCCTCGAGTCAGACACTCAGTCCGAGCTGTCATCCCAGCCGTGGCCGCTCTTCGCTGCAACACCCTTTGATTTTTTTCCCCCTTCTCCTGCGAACACTCTCCTGGAGTCTCACGGCCCACGGATCTCCCCGGTTGGCTTGCTGCTCTCCTGCCACGCCTTCCTCGTAATTCCACCAATGTGCCAGTTTCATTTCCAGCTTCTCAGCACCACTTTGCTCAATTCCTTTGATTCTTGCTTTTTTTTTTTTTTTTTTTTTTTTTTTTTACCTCTACTCCATTCTCCCCGCTGGCACAGAAGGAAAGGCGGGGCTTGATAATTGCCACTTCGATCCTCAAATAAATGCCTTATTGTATCTGATTCTTCTGAATAGGTTTGCTTAATAGCCTTTTTCTTTTCCAGCCTCCTGCTTTTCCCAAAAGTGACCAAACAAAAGATCTGAAGCCCAGCTGTGTGTGTGTGTGTGTGTGTACTGGGATTGAACCTGGGGTGCCTGTACCAATCAGTTACACCCCCCGCTACTCTTTATTTTGAGACTGGGTCTCCARAAGTTTCTGAGCCTGGCTTTGAGCTTGGGATCCTCCTGCCTCAGCCTCCCGAATAGCTGGAATCACAAGCATGCAGTGCCTCACTGGCACTAATGTTTTCATCTCACTGTATTTTTTTTTTAAAGCTGTAGATGAACACAATATCTTTATTTTATTTAGTTATTTTTATGTAGTGCTGAGGATCAAACCCAGTGTCTCCTACTTGCTAGGCGAGTGCTCTACCACCGAGCCACAAACTCAGCCCCATTTACAGTATTTTTGATTTTGAAATTGCTTTAAGGTTTAAATAACTATTTTAAGGGTTTTTTTGTTGTTGTTAAGTTGTGGTAATACAAAATCGTTTTTAAGATGTGAAGTAGAGGGGCTGGGGATGTGGCTCAAGCGGTATCGCGCTCGCCTGGCATGCGTGCGGCCCGGGTTCGATCCTCAGCACCACATACAAACGAAGATGTTGTGTCCGCCGAGAACTAAGAAAAAAATAAATAAATGTTAAAATTCTCAAAAAAAAAAAAAAAAAGATGTGAAGTAGAGCTCCAGTCAACACACATTTTTGTCAAACATGTCATCCATTAAGGGTACCTCAAATCCTTGTGTTAAGTCCTGTAGATTTAGGAGAGTAGTATAGTAGCACACAGTCTAGTACATAAACTAACATCTTATGACCCAATTACTTCATTTTAAAGTTTATTATTGTACCATTTAGTTTTGTAGATCTGACCTTAACCATTACAAATTTATGTAGGAGAACCTTGTGTCTGAGCATTTCAAACTGTTTTTTGGCTGCAAAGGAGAGTGAATGGGGACTTTGCTTAGACTGTTAAAACTCTGAGATCTCTTTTCATATACAGTTAATGTTTACCACTTTTTGTGTATTTTAGGGATGTTAATCTTTACCTTTGAAAGTATATGTCTGATGTAGGTTTATATTGCATATATCCCTCCAATAGATCAATATTTTTTAATGTCTCATCCCCTGAAATCATCAAGTAAAACCAACACATTAGAAAAATGAAGTGTTTATTTGGTGTCGTTTTGTGTTTCTTAACAGAACTTTAGGTATAGTCATACTTAGTTTAAAGCTTTTTTTTTAAATAAATGCATTTCATCTTGGTTTATTACATTTGTGAAGCAGAGCAAAATAGTAGCTTTGTTGTCCATCAAATTCTGTTCCTCTTTACCTGATTATACTTAGATTGATTTATTATAGTTATTTTGATGAAAGTAGTTGTGGGAAATCAACTTTGAGAATTAAACTGCTAATCTTTGTAAAATACATTGATATTTATGTTATACCTCTAGAGTTTTTTTTAATGATTTCTATTTTGCAGCTCTTCATTCTGAAAAGTATTGTATRGGAACCGTTTCCGAATCTAATGTTACCTAACTGTTCTCCTGCGTGTATCTAGTTTACAATGTGAACATTAATTTTAAAGAACACTGCTGCTTTTCTTAACAATGTGTTTTAATTTTCCCATATAAATTCTCAGGAATAAAATGTACTCAGTTGGTTGAAAGAGATTCTGTGTAATGGTTATATATATGTAGCTGCTGCTTCATGAGGATTTATTGCTAACTGGAATGGAAATAAAGTGATGTTTTCTGGTCATCACAATTCATAAATTCACAGAAAGAGGGGTTCTTAATTTTAATTTTTTAAAAGAATTTTTTAAAAAGATGGACACAATATTTTTCTTTATTTTATTTATTTTTATGTGGTGCTAAAGATTGAACCCAGTGCCTCACATGTGAAAAGCAAGTGTTCTAACACTGAGGTATAACCCCAGCCCCTTAATTTTAATTTTTTTGTTGCTGTAATATATGGATTGAACTCAAGGTTTTGCACATGTGAGGCCAGTGCTCTACCACTGAGCTACAACTCCAACCCTTTTTGTTTTATGTATTTTGAGGTAGGTCTCCTTAAATTGCCCAGGCTGGCTTTTAACTTGTGATCCTCCTGCCTTGCCTGCTTGAGTAGCTGACATTCCAAATGTGGGTCACCCTGCCCAGCTAAGAAAGAGATATTTGATAAATAACATAGGAAGAGTAGGTAGAAGCATGGCAGTAGAGATAAAAGAAGACACAAATTTTGAAGTTTTGTCTATAAGATTGTAATAGGCTTGACTGAACTTGTTTCTCCTAAAAAAGGAAGAACTCTTAGGTTCATCTAGTGTATTGCTTAGAACTCTTTCAGTTCCAAGTAGTAGCAGAAACCAAATTCCAGCTGGTTTAGGCCAAACACAAAATAAGTACTTCTAATTCATGTAACTGATAACTGCAGCATACCAAAGCAGTAAGTAGGTGGGAAGGAAAGACTTCTAGAACAAGCTTGAAWAGAAATTAGGTGAAAGTTTTTTTTTGAAGAATATTATAGATTTTAATTATGTTGATAGGGAGTGGGAAAGAGGTAACTGGTGAGGGAAAGATTAAAGATACATCAGGTAGGAGATAATTGAATCAGTGAGGGTCTAGAAGAAATAGAATAGTAAAATAACAGGTTGGTGAGATATAGTAAAAGGAGCAAGGATTCATAAAGATAGATACAGTTTGAGACGTTAAGGATATTGCAGTCATGGCATCTACAAGATATCTTTTGAGAAAGAATAACTTTTAAAATAGTTTTAGAAACTCAGAATAGGAGGTCAKTTGGGATGAATAAAAGAATTATCAAATCATTTTGAAGTCTTTAAGTGTGAGTTTATAGTTGCTACAACTATGTGACTTCAATAATGCTAAGCAGCACAGGATCAAGAATTTGGAGGGGGGAATGCAGTTTGATTTTATTTAAGGTTAAAAGTTATGACAGGATGTGGGTGCAAAGAATGGGTTCAGTGAGAGTCAGGAATTCATGGACCAAAGGATAGAATGTTGTATAATGAGAGGTTCACAGTTGAGATTCTGTTTTCCTTAAATCTACTCGTGAATGTATAATCATGGAATGGGGATATATAGAAGTTATTGGAGTAAATAGAGATGAGTCCATTGTTTCATTCAGGGATATGTTAGTGTTTGAGGATGACAGTAGATTTTAATGTCAAAGTGGAAAACTATGAACCATATATTTTAGTATTCTAGGAACATTAGTGAAGATCTTGAGTTTGCAAATGTCAGTCAGTCAGAGTATGGGTGAGGGAATATATCCAATTTATGGGGATTTTATTTATTTTAATTTTTGGAGACATTTATACATCTTTTGGGGCACATTATGGTAATTTAGTACCTGTATATGATATATAATTATCAAATCAGCATTTCTATCCATTCAAACTTGAATTTTTTTGTGATAGGTATATCATACTCTTCTAGTCATTTTGGAATATAGATTGTTGTAATCAATAGTTATCCCACCGTGCTATAGAAAAACCAGAACTAATCCCTCTGCTCTGTGATTTGGGCCCTCTTATTGAACTTCCCATTCCCTCTCCCCTACCTTTCAAATTTATGGGAATTTTTTTCTTTTTAAAAATGTATTCATTTTAGATATACATGACAGTAGAGTGTATTTTGACATATTATACATGCATGGATAAATTTATGGGCATTTAAAAGGAAGAATTATTATTATTATTTATTTTTATTTTTTATTTTGTGGTGCTGGGTATTGTACATGCAAGGCAGGCACTCTACCATCTGAGCTATATCCCCAGCCCCATGGAAGAGTTATTGTAATAAAATTAGAATGTTAATTGGAAGTAGTGGTAGTGGGGGAAGGATATTGTTAATTTCTATTCCTGGGTTTATAAAAAGTTGTGTGGGTTGATAAAAAAAAATTGGATTGAGTTAACTTAAGATGGAGAAAATGTCCAAGGAAAACATTCAGAATCTAAGGAGTTGTATTGATTTTGCAAAGGATTTTAGTGGACTAAGAGATGGAGACAAATGTAAATCAGAGGTGTTTTATCTTCTTTGCTGCTTTGGCTAAAAGATGTGACAAGAACAACTGTAGAGGAAGAAAAGTTTTTTTGAGGGCTTATGGTTTCAGGGGTCTTAGTCCRTAGAAGGCTGGCTCCATTCCTCCTGGCTCAAGGTAAGGCAGAATAGCAAGGTGGAAGAGTGGCAGAGGGAAGCAGCTCACATGTTGATGAGGAAGCAGAGAGAGACAYCATGCTCCAGATCCAAAATATATACCTCATGGCCACTCCCCAAATGTATCATTTTCTCCAGCCACACCCCACCTCCCTTCAGTCACCATCCAGTTAATCCCATCAGGGATTAACACACTATTTAGGTTAAGGCTATAACCCAATAATTTCTCCTCCAAACCTTGCATTGTCTCACACATGAGCTTTTGGGTGACACCTTAGATCCAAATCATAACAAGAGGATAGAGTTGGGTTACATAAGTGAGAGGATRGCAAGGTAATTGGAGAGTGGTGAACGTGATTCCCAGGCTTGATGTTGGAAGATAGAAGATTTAAAAGAAGATTAGAGGAGCATTGACGGGATGGATTATGAATAAAACTGAATAAAGCCCAAAGATCTTATCTGAAACTTTGTTATAATGTTGTCTTAAATCCCTGATGGTTTATTCTAATCTGGGTCTTCCATAGTTTTGTAGTCTGGCAGATGTGGGTTGCATCATCYTGCTTTGTGGGTGCTTATAGTCACAACTCTCTCCTGGGTTGCACTTGGCCCTGGAATATCCTTTCACCTGATTCTGCCTAGGATTTTTTTTTAATTTTTCAAAGCTCAGTTCCTTTGACCTTTCCAAAAGCTATTTCCCAATTAACTCAAACTTGAAAAAAAGTATACCTATTTCTGAAATTTCATGGGTCTTTGCACTTTTTATAGGATGTCAGTCAGATTTCATCATTTATTCAGGTTTGCTAATTTGTCTAATCTATGTTGATATAACTATTACCTGAGTCAGAGGGTCTGTCTGCTTCAACTGATATCTCCGTAGTATCTGGTATGCCAGAGTGTACTCGCTAAGAGTACCACCTTTGGAATCAGACCAGTGGTGAACATCATGGTGACCTTGATTCTTCAAACCTAAATTTCTTAATTTATAAAATAGAGATAATACCATTACAGATCTCATACTACTTTTGTRAGGATTAAATAATTTGTATAAAGCACTTAACATATTATCTGGCAATGATAATTACTATTATTTCAAATAAATTTTTATGGAATAAACAAGTGAATGAATGATTACACAGTCTACTTGGGAAAAGTCATGCTTTTAATTTAGAATAAAAATAATTAGACTTTCTTGRGTGCTAATGCTAATATACTGAGAACAATTTTAATGTAACTATTTTAGTAATAGATACCACTAATTTTGTACTAATTATAGGTAAAATGCAAAATACTTTAATATAGACTATCATTTAACAAGTCGAAAGATGAATATCATGTTTTGCAGATGAGAAACTGAGGTGGTACTGAGGATTAAACCTAGTGCCTTACACATGCTAGGCAAGTGCTCTACCACTTAGCCACAACCCCAGCCTCTGCCTTTCACTCTCTTAATGATGAAGTTTGATGAACATAAATTCTTAATTTTAATGAAACTCTTAGTTTATTTTTTCATTATGGTTAGTAATGCTTGTGTCCTGTTTGAGAAATCTTTGTATACCCCTAAGGTCATGAAGATACTTTATTTTTTAATACTAGAAGCATTATTTTATGTTTTATATTTAAATGTGTGATCCACTTCACATTAATTTTAGATAGGTGTCAGATAGGTGTCAAAGTTGTCCCCCTCATTTGGTTACTGAATTGTTTCAGTATCATTTATTGAAAAAAATTATTCCTTTCCTACTGAATTGCAGTAAGATGCAGTAATTGCAGTAAGATGACTACTTAGATGTGGATCTCTGCCATTTATTTTAATTTTGAAATATGATATATTCCAGTAGACTGTAATTTCTAAGAAATCTTGGATTGTGTTTAATTGGCTCGCTACATTATACTCACTACCTAGTCCAATGACACGATTGACATTCAGTAAATATTTGCTGATTGAATGAAAGAATTTTTAAGAGAGAAATCCATAGGAAGTCTGAGAAATATTTTTAAATAAAGAATTAAAAAGTGTTTTGAGTTACACAGCATGTTTAGATATATAGTAGAATTGAAATTGTTTTTGTAGAATATTGCCAACTTCTAAATATCYACCCCCTTCATAAAAATTAGTTTAGTTAGAGAATTCTATTATGGGACATGAGGTCTTTTGCCAGGAAATTCCTGTTTAATTCTTGGTCAATTTCTTTTGTCACCATACATATATTGTTTACTGGAGGAATTTTTTTTGAGAAACTGCTACTCTTTTAAAACTTGTAATTTTTTTAGTCTTTATGGCTAGCCCTTCAGCTTCAGTAAAATGTATCAGTATAAATTCTGAACCTAATGAGAAGTTAATTTGGAATAAGGAATAGATGTAAAAGGATCTCTTCCACTATTTTAAAAAATCTTTTTCATATCAAATAATAATTTCTGGGATGGGGTTGTGGCTCAGTGGTAGAGTGCTTGCCTAGCATGTGCAAGGCCCTGGGTTTGATCCTCAGCACCACATAAAAATAGATTTTAAAAAATCAAGGTATTGGGCTGGGAATGTGGCTCAGGCGGTAGCGCGCTCGTCTGAAATGCGTGCGGCCCGGGTTCGATCCTCAGCACCACATACCAACAAAGTCGTTGTGTCCGCCGAGAACTAAAAAAGAAATATTAAAAATTCTCTCTCTCTTTCTCTCTCTCTCTCTCTCTCTCTCTCTCTCTCCTCTCTCACTCTCTCTTTAAAAAAAAAAATCAAGGTATTGTGTCCAAAATACAACTAAAAATTAAAATTAAAAAAAAGTTTAAACAAATAATAATTTCTACCATGTTTTTTTATTTTTTGTAGAGATTGTCACAGAAGGAAAAAGAAAAAAGTCTACATCTTCTGATTTACATGAGGTATGCATTAGTTTGCTTGTAACCAATAGTTGGTGAAATTGAAAGTGTTTTGCAATTTTTTTAAAAAATAAAATTTTTAAATATGGTAAATCTTTGAGCAGTATTTTGAGGAAAATGATGTTCTGAATAACTGAGCAGCTTTTAAAAATCCATTACAAGATGACTCGTATACATTTTGGTTTATATTTTGAATTTTATATAAAATATAACAGCATTTCATTGATGACTGAATGTATTAGCATGCTTTGTGTTCATTCATTAATAATGTAGATKTAGAAGAGTTGTGTTCATGGCATATGCTGAAAATTATTTTTTGTAATCTGTTCTTTTAAACCTCTTTTTTTTTTCTATTCATTTCTTCTTACAAAACAAGCAAAATGAAGTTTCTGCCTATGTAGAGTGTTTTTTTTTTTAAATGCATCCCTATAAGGAATGATAATCTTTTTCTCTAGAATTTTGTGCTTAAATGCAGTGATACCTGATGTACATTATAATGATTTTATTAGATACTTTTCTCAGAAGCACTTATGTATGGAAATCTTTAATTTGGAACATTTTTATGTTTTTACAGTTGTACATTTAACAACGATTGTAGAAATCATAAAGGAGTATCATGGGTTAATGAGAGGGAATTAAGAGGACCTTAGTAGACCACATAGAATATCTTTGCTAGTCTTTCTTCTTTGGCTTAAGATTTGCAGGTGTGGTTTCTCCATTTATTTTTATTTTTAAAAAATATTTATTTTTTAGTTGTAGTTGGACACAATACCTTTATTTCACTTATTTATTTTTATATGGTGCTGAAGATCAAACCCAGGGTCTCGCACATGTGAGGCAAGTGCTCTACCGCTGAGCCACAACCCCAGCCCCATGGTGGTTTCTCCATTTAAAATTTGGGATTTAGCTCAAGTACAGTGAATGRGGAAAGTAGAAAAGAAAATTTTACATTGTTGTGAAAACTACTGTCATTTCCAGTATCTCATTTTGTTTTCTGATGCTGTAAAATAATACATAAGACTGGCCATTTATTTAAAAATACTATGTATTTTGATTCATGGTTCTGGAAGCTGGGAAGTCATTGGTACCTGCTGAACTTCTGGTGAGGGCCTTGTATAATAGCTCATAGCAGAAAGCAGTGTAAGTGGACTGAAAAGAAGCATGTATATGAAAGACTCAGGGGAAGTACCAGTCTCACTTTGTAACAACCTGCTTTCTTGAAAACCAACCATTCTTAACTAACACAGTCTCTTAATAAAGAGATTAATTTTTTCATAAGGGTGAAGGTCCCATGACCTCATTAGCACTTAAAGGTCCTGCTTCCTAACACCTTTATATTGGTAATCCAATTTCAACTTGAATTTTGGTGGGGACAAATCACATGTAGGCTATAGCACCCAGTTTTAAAATACCTCTGCGTTGACCACTGCTATTTAAACAAAAAATTTAAATTTATTTATTCTAATCAGTTATACATTACAGCAGATTGCTCTTTGATTCATTGTACACAATAGAGCACACTCTTTCATTTCTCTGGTTGTACATAAAGTAGGGTCACACCATTCATGCAATCATATGTGTACCTAAGGTAATGATGTCCATTTCATGCTATTTTTAATATTTGCAACAAARTGCTCTGCTTTAGGGTATTATGTCATTCATGCAATTCACTTGAAGTTCTACTGTTAACATTTCATAATATTGAAGCCAGGTGTGTGCACCTGTAGTCCCAGCTGCTGGGAGGATTGCTTGAGCCTACACATAGACACCTTATGTCTTAAAAAGAAAAAAAGATATTGAATTTCATGTTGGTTCCTATGCCCTTTTGACAAGCTCCTACGGGTAGCAGGGGTGGTACCTTTCCTTACTTTTCGGCACTACAAGCTTATCTTGTATTTTCCCTACCCAGCCTTGAAATTAGCAGATTTCCCAAGGAGCCTTGGTTGTTTTTATTAAAGAATAAAATATTTCATTTGTTCAACCATAGTATACCTATAACGTCGTAAAAAATTTAGAATTCCTTATACACTAGCATACTAAATTCTAGGTAGTAGTTTATATTACCTCCTAAGACCATTAGTAGAAATGACTTACTGAAAGGATAAGAACTTTCGTGGATACAGAGATAAGACACTGATACATTTTGAGTTTTTAAGAATTTAAAATTATTTTTAAGACAAAACTTGCTTTTTCTTTTTTATTAGTCAATACTTGTTTTTTTATAGATTTTATTAGAAAATTCAATTTAACAAAAAGACTACTCAGATACAACTAGAATTAATACCTTGGTATTCTAGTTCATCTGTCTATCTGTCTATAGTAAATAAATATTAAAATTAGAACACCACCCAATACTGCATTTAATCTACTTTTTCTATTTAACTGCATCGAGGGCATACTTTTTCTAAAATCATACTTATTTAAAATATTGCTTAGTATTTATTGGGTAGTTAAAATATATTGGRTAAATTATGCTCAGTACTAGGGAAATAGTGGTAAACATTTTTTGTTTTTTGTTTTTGTTTTTTTTTTGGGTACTGGGTACTGGGTACTGGGGTGCTTAGCCACTCAGGCACATCTCCAGCCCTGTTTTGATACTTTTAATCTTGAAASAGTTCTCACTAAGTTGCTTAGGTCCTTGCTAAGTTGCTGAGATGGTTTTGAATTTAGAATACTGCCTCAGCCTCAGAGCTGCTAAGATTATAGGCCTGCACCTCCACACCCAACTAGTGGTAAACATTTTAAATGACTACATCATATTTCATTATATGCAAATCTCAATGAATTCTTCCATTGTTTTTGAGCTATTTTTAGTGTTTTGAATTATAAGCTGGGCTAATTGTTGTATTGGAATTTTAAGTTTTGTAGGATCATGATAGCTTAAAATCTTCGTTGATCGTATTATAGTTGAAACCATGACTGGAATGTGTCTAAGGACCAGGGATGTAGTTCAGTGGTAGAATCTGTGCTTAGCACAAGGCCCAGGGTTCAATCCCTAACACCTCAAATGAAATAAATGCAATGGGATATAAAAACAAGTAAAATAAAATGTCTAAGAAGAGATCATATTGTTGCAAAAGACTCATAAGTATTTGGATTTTTTTTTGGGGGGGGTAGGAATTTGCTTTTTAAAAAATTGGATGTTATAATTAGAATTTTTTTATTATATATTTTTAAATGCATACAACTTAATTTAGATCAGTTAATCATTAAGAAAAAGTGAAGAACTCGAGATAGGGCAGAGGTGTGGGYGGGGAAGGGAGAGGGCAGGGGTTTAGCAATGATGGTGGAATGTGATGGACATCATTATCCAAAGTACATTTCCTTTAAAAATCAATTTATTAAGGTATGATTAGCATACAAAAACCGTATATATGATACCACTTGATGAATTTGGAGATAAGTATACACCCATGGAAACCATCATTACATTCTGTGCTATAAACATCCCCTCCAAAAGTTTCTTCTTTCTTTTGCAATTAATAGTTCCAGTGCTGATCTGCTAGTTGATTCAAYGTAACATAAAATCTATCCCCTTTAGTAAAGTTTTTAGTATGTAATACACTATGGTAAACTATAAGCATTATGCTGTACAGTATTTCTCTAACACTTATTCATCTTACATAACTGAAACTTTGTACCCTTTGAGTAATACCTCTCTGTTTCTTTCTCCCCACAACTTCTGGCAGCTACTATTCTTACTGCTTCTGTGAGTTTGACTATTTTAGATTTCTCATAAGTGATATCATATAGTGTTCTGTTCTCCAGGTTCAATCACGTAGTCACAAATGGTAGGATTTTCTTTTTTTTAAAGATTCAGTAATATTGTATTATATGTATATACCACTTTAATTTTTTTTTTTTTTAAACCAGTCATAGGATCTGGAGTCATCTTGAAGACTTGCTCACTCACTTGTTTGGAATCTATAGGAAGACACAAACATCTTGGTGAATCTATATCCCTTTGTAGCCTCTCCATATGATCTTTCCAGCTTAGTGGCTTCAGGGTATTTCTTACCTATGGCTTAGGTCTCCCAAGGTGTGTATACTGAGAGGCAGAGGGAGGGAGGGAAGCACATAAGCACGTCTGAACCATGCTGAAGCTAAGTTTCCTCTTATGACTAGCCTTGGAAATCACAAGTCTGCCCAGATTCAAGGGGGACAGAACATAGTTTTAATGTTGGAAGACKGCCTGGTCATGTTGTGAGAAAAGAATGTGGGGTAGGGAATATTGGTATGGCCGCCTTTGGAAAAGACAGTATGCCACAGAATTCAGTGTAAGCTGTGTTTATCAGCTTTGCCTTGCTGTGTCAAAATACCTGAGAAAATTATCTTAAAGAGAAAAGATTTATTTTGCCTCAATGAGAGAAGAGAGAGATGGGAGGGGGTAGTGAGTGATTAAGCACAAATGTGCACAAACAAGCTGCGGATCAAGCCTTCAACACGTGAGCTGTTGGGGGAAATTCCAGATTCAGACAATAACATTATACTAGATAACCTACTTACAAAGCATCATGGGTTTGAACAGCCTGAATCCCTTGCCTCACCCTGGAGAAAGCCGCTGTTGTTTTCTAATTAAGAATATAAGACCGATGATTATTTCAGATAGATAATGTCTTTTACAGATGAAGAATTACAATACAATTTTAATACAGAATAGCAATAAAAGTTACTTGTACCCAGGAAGATGAACTTTTTCTGAGAAGCTAGTAAAATAAGAGTTGAGATGTATTTTCTTCATATTTATTGTATCTTCTTAACTTAGGCTTTCTTTCCTTAGAAATATTTATGGATTCTTACTGGTTACTAATTGTATTTAATATAATGCTTTGGTGGGGGCGGGTGCTGGGGATCAAACCCATGATATTGCGTATTTTGAGCATATTCTAAACAACTGAGCTACACCGCTGGCCTATTATATTTTGTAGGTAGAACTTAAAGCTTAATAATCATTTATTTTAATATGAAAGTTAGATATTTTAAGTTTTCAAGCAAGGCATGGTGGTGCACACCTGTAATCCCAGCAGCTTGGGAGGCTGAGGCAGGAGGATTGCAAGTTCAAAGCTAGCCTCAGCAAAGGTGAGGTGCTAAGCAATTCAGTGAGACCCTGTCTCTAAATAAAATACAAAATAAATATGACTGGGGATGTGGCTCAGTGGTCGAGTGCCCCTGAGTTCAATCCCCAGTACCAAAAAAAAAAAAAAAAAAAAGGAAAAGAAAAACATATTTAAGTTTTCAAATTTGTTACAATTCATGCATTCATTTGCTTATTCAGCTTAGCAGGAGCCACATACTTTGGAGATGCAAAAGTAAATTAGGACCTTGACCTTAAGGAGCTCTACAGTCTGGAGTCTAGGCAGATATATTGACAAATTACTACAAAATGATCGGTGTAATATGAATATTGTAATGTAAATGTATCAAACAAATATTTATACCCCGAGAAAGGAATGCTTTTGTGTGAGGGTTATGCTTATATGGGTAAGAGAATACTTTTGAAAAGAGTCTGAGATATTTCACAAGGGAGAAATAGAAGGAAAGGCCTTACAGACTGAGGGAACAGTATATATAAACATTTTAGAGATAAAATATGACATCTGAAGAGGGTTTAATAACTCTAAAATGTTGTGCTATTGAATTTTTTTGGTGTGGATGATGTGAAAAAGAGCTGAAAATGTCGAGTTTTATTTATAAGAAATGGATGCCACTGTTGTTTGTAAGCATTGCAGCCATAATTAGAATTATGTATTAGAGAACTCTGTAGCTTGCATTTGAAAAATTAGGAGAAGAGACTGTAGGCAAGAAAATAGTAATTAGGAAACTGTTGTGATTCTTCACTTCTCTACCTTTATGCTCAATGGGAATTTTTTATAATATTATGTTTAATTGCTTATAAATTAAGCTTCGGATTTAAAACTTTAAAACTCTTAGAAAAATATTAATGCAGGGTAGTAGAATGGTTCTGCTAGTTGATTCAATTCTTTTATATATATACATATATAAATATATTTCAATTAAACTGATTATTTTCTCATCCTACTTTCAGATAAGAAAGATGTTAAATGTAAAACCAGAGGATGTTCATGTTCAGTCACCACTGTCCAAAGTCAGAAGCTCAGTACGCTGGGATCTCCCTTTGCAGGGGGTAAATAAAACTAATTTGTTTTAAGCATATAGTTTTATTTAGTATGTTTAAAATATTTTAGCAAAACTGAAATTTTATTTTCTTATTATCTTTTATTTTTCTGATATTTAATTTTAGATTTTAAAATTAATTTATTTCTGACATGTTAAAATGAACCTTTGAGGTTAGTGTCATCTTCAGTTTAAATCTAAGTGTACCTTATGCATGGATGATTTCTTTAAGAAATTTAAATTTCATTGTAATATTGTATATATTAAGGTTACTAAGATATTAAGCTTGGTAGAATCATTTGTTCCTTTTTCCTTTTTTGGTACTGGAGATTGAACTCAGAGGTGYTTTACCACTGAGTTACATCCTCAGTCGTTTTTATTTTTTTATCTTGAGGCAGGTTCTCACTGAGTTATTGAGGGTCTTGCTAAGATGTTGAAGCTAGCCTTGAACTTGTGATCCTCTTGCCTCAGCTTCCCAAGATTATAGGTGTGTGCCACCAAGCCTGGTTGTTCTTTTGTTCTTTACCCATTTTTTAACTTTGAGAAAGTGTCTCTTAATGGATGCTACAGCAACATTTTAAAAGATATTCTGATTATAAATCTGGACTTTAACATTAATTTTTTAGATATTATTCTAGGTCTCTGATGAATAGACTGACTTACTATAGTACTTTTTCTTTTTTCAATATGGCACTTTATTTTCTCTTGACTGAAGTGATTCCTGGTCAATTATTAGAAAATTGAATTTTTCTCAGATTTTCCATTTACCAATTTATAGCTATATTAGTTTACTAGAGCTGCCATAACAAAATACCACAGAGCAAATGGCTTTAACAACAGAAATTAATTTTCTTTAAATTTTTTTTTAGTTCTAGATGGACACAATATCTTTATTTTATTCATTTATTTTTATGTTGTGCTGAGGATTGAACCCAGTGCCTCATGCATGCAAGGCAAGCACTCTACCACTGAGCCACAACCCCAGCCCAGATATTAATTTTCTCATGGTTCAGAAATATGGAAGTCCAAAATAAAAGTGAGAGCAGGATTGGTTTCTCCTGGGCCTTTCTCCTTGATTTGCAGATGTCTCTTTTCTTGCTGTGTCCTCCCTTGGCTTTTCTCTGTGTGCATGCTTGTATGTCTGGTGTAACTTTTTCTATTTATGAGGATACCAGTCTTATTAGATTAGGGGCCCACCCTTATGACCTCAATTTAATTTTAATTAACTTTTTAAAATCCTTGTGTCCACATATAGTCACATTGAACATTAGGGCTTCAGCATAAGAATTTTGTAGGTATACAGTTCAATCCAGAAGTGGCTCATTTTAGGATAACAAATTTTAAGACACTATGGATTCTTGGATTTTTATGTTACAGACAGGAAAAAAAATAACCACTTTTAAAACTTAGAGGAGGGCTGGGGTTGTGGCTCAGTGGTAGGGCACTTGCCTCACACTTGTGAGGCACTGGGTTCGATCCTCATAGAAATAAATAAACAAAATTAAGGTATTGCATCCATTTACAACTAAACAAAATATTAAAAAATTATAAAAAAAACTTAGAGAAAGAGTTTGTCATCAGTATTAATTGTTTTAAAATTAAAGTTTGAGAGAACACTTATTATTTTTTATTTTTTTGTGGTGCTGGAGATTGAACCCAGGGGCTCATGCATGCTAGGTAAACACTTTACCACTGAGCCACATCCCCACCCATAAAAGTTTTATTTTTAAATAATATATTTGTTAAGTTTATTTTGTATACAAAGAAGGACAAAATAGGGAAAAAATGAAACCATATGATATTTATGTTATCTGTTGACATAAAAAATAAAATACATTTTCATAAAGTTAGAAAATTTGTGCTGTATAGAAAGGCACAAGTAAAATGAATAAAGAATTCTCTTTTTTTCCCCTAGAGGCAACCTCTATTAATTGGGTTTTTTTTTCACTTAAGAAAAAAAATGCATATGCCATATGAATTATTTTTTAATCTTTACAGAAAAAAGTGATTTTACTTACTTGTTCTGCACTTCATTGTTTTCACTTAATAAAATATCTGAATTTTTTTCCTTTACATTTCTGGGGATTTAACCCAGGGGTGCTTTACCAGTAATCTATATCCAGGCCTTTTTGTTTTTTATTTTGAGACAGAGTCTTGCCAAGGTGCCTAGGTTGGGCTCAAACTTGGAACTCTCCAGCTTCAGCCTCAGAAGTAGCTGGGATTACACGTGTAAGCCACCACAACTGACCATTTTCCCCCCATTTTAACACATATAAAACTACATCATTTACTTATTTTATTTTTTTAYTTTTTGGTACTTGGGATTGAACCTAGGAACCCTTTCCCACTGAGCTATATTCCGCAGTCCTTTTCTTTTTTGAGACAAGGGTCTTGCTAAGTTGCTGAGGGCCTCATGAATTGGGGCCTTAATGAATTGCTTAGATTGGCCTCATACTTGAGATCATCCTGCCTCAGTCTCTTGAGTCTCAGGGATTACAGGTGTGTGCCACTGTGCACAGATATATTTTTATTTTTAGTTGACACAGTGGTTGTACATCTTTATGGGGTTCAGTGTTACATTTCAATGCATGTATATGATGTGTAAAGACCAGATCAGGGTGATTAGCATATCTGTCACCTCAGACATGTATCATTTCTTTGTGTTGGGAACATTCAAAGTTCCCTCTACTCTTCTGAACTATTTAGTTAATTATTGYCAATCATAGTTATCCTACTGTATTATTGAACATTAGACATAATTTTTCTTATCCATTTGCCTCTTTGTGCCTATTAACCATCCTCACTTTAATTTGGATTAATTTAAATTCATCCTCACTTCATCACTCCGTCTCCTGTACCTTTCCAGGATCTAGTCACCTCTATTCTATTGTCTACTTCTTGAAGATCAATTTTTTAGCTTACACACACACACACATTAATAATTTCATCATGTGGAAAATCATTTTTCATATATGGGGAACCTTTTTTGAGTGGGATTACTAGGGCCTAAGGGAATTTGCATGTAAATTTTTTTATACATATTTATTTTTTGTACTGGGGATTGAACCCAGGAGTGCTCTATTACAGAACTACATCCCTAGACCTTTTTGGTAATTTTTATTTTGAGATATGATCTCTCAGTTACTGAGGCTGGCTTTAAACTTGCAGTCCTTCTGCCTCACCCTCCCAATTTGCTGGGATTGTAGGTGTGTGCCACTATGCGTGGCTTATATTTTAAATTTTAATTAATACTGCAAAATTGTCTTATGGAAAATCTGCAGCAATTTGTTTTGCTACCAGTGTGGTGTTCCATTTCTCTACAAACATAACAACTGTATATTACCACACAGTAAAATGGTTGCCAATTTGATAGGAACAACAACAACAACGGCAAAGACAAAAGTCCCATTAAAATGATGTGAATTGTTTTTATCTCTTTGCATTCATATTTTTATTTTATTTTTCAAGATATAGAATTTATTGTTGGATAAAATTTTTTACACATGTACATACTGTCTCTTGGGATAGATCCTTCTTTTTTTTTTTTAGCAGTATCTCTGTTTTTTTTTCTTTTATCCTTGAGATGTGCATGAGTTTCCTTAGTTTTTGACAAAAGTATGGATTCTTCGTGTCCAGTGTCTTTTCTTTTTCTTCAACTCCTCTTCATCAGTCTCCTTTTCCTGAGAAGATAGTGGCCAGTTTTCTCCTTTAGTTCCCTTTAACCCACTGAGTAGAACATGGCCCCTTCAAGGACTATTTTTTTCCTGTCACTAKTTTACTACCTTATTCCTTAGAGTAATGTTACTTAATTTTCGGGATATCTGCATTCTGGTTGAGTAGGAAGTGGTGCATGTCAGTATTAACATGCCCCCTCATTGCTTTAGGGATTATATATGCTAGGTGGACTTCATGGTTTATAGAGTTTAAGGATGGCTATACTGATATCTTGGTGTGTTGTCCCTGCCTACTTTTTTTAATTGTTGTTTTTAGAGACTTTCAGAGGAAGAGAGAGGAATAAATTACCCTTTTCGTAGTCTTTAGTAGAATTTTCACTCATTTATTTATTTGTGATTTCTGTTGAGATATAATTTCATTAAATAATCTATACATATTTTAAGTGTATAATTGGATAAATTTTGCCCAGAATACCATACAGTCATGAGATAGAGCATTGTCATGACCCTAGAAATTTCTCTGTGTCCATTTTCATTATGTCTTTCTCTCACTGCTCATACACCCACACTGCTCCTGGCCAGCAGTCTTCTCATTTCTATTTCCGTGATGTAGTTTTGCATTAATTTGAACTTCATAAAAATGGAGTCATTCAGTATGTACATATTTGGCTTCTTTTCACTCATTATAATGTTGTTTGAGATTTATCAATGTTTTTGTCTATCATTGATTTGTTCCTTTTTATTTCTATATAATATTCCCTTATATGAATATATCACAACTGTTTATCTAATTTTCTGTTGATGGACTTTGGGCTTTGTTTTAATTTGCATTTCTTTAGTGAATAATGATGTTAAAACATTTTCATATGTTGATTAGCAATTGTGTATCTTTTTTTGTCAAGAATCTATTCAAATTTTTTGACTTTTTTAAAAATAAATTTCTTTGAAGATTAATTTGGATTCATTTAAATTCATCCATTGTAMTTTTTCTATTTTTTAATAGACATGTACATTTTGTAACTACCACAGTAACAAAGAYATGTGTGAGTTTGTATTGATTTATACTTTTTGTGTGTGACTGTTCGTACAGTTCTATTTGAGTTAGTCATAATTTTCACAGATAAGATATTGAAATGTTCCATAACTTCAAAAAATTCTGTTGTGCTCTTCACTTTTTAGTTAATTTCTTTCTCTCCCCCAACCCCTGGCAACACTGTTGTTTTCTAATCTATGTTTTCTAAAATATTACTTAAATGTAACCAAATAATATATAATGTTTTCAGAGTGTCTTGTTTCATTCAACATAATGTCTTTGAGATTCATTCATGTTTATGTG